TGTTACTCAGGTGTTTTTCACAAGCTACGATTATGAAAAACAGGACCCATTGCAACCTACAGATGATGTTACTTATGCGATCGTATAGCACACTTTTCGGATACGTGTTTAGCAATTGTAATTGCTAAACACTCTTCTAAACACCTTCTTGCTATCACTTTGTAAACATGTTTCAATATTTAAGATGTTAAGGGTAAGGATGGATAGTGTTTAGCAATTGAACATTGATATTGAGGAATTGGACACGTAGTGTTTAGCTTCTATACAAACATGTACAGAAAGTGATAGCATGATTGTGTTTTATTGCTAAACACAGTTTGTAAAGTATATCAGGCAATTAATTACTATTTTAGTATTTTTGAAAAGTATAGGTGATCTTTAAAACATTTTCGGTAATTAGATAATTATGTCATAAGAATATGAAAGTGGCAGGTTGGCATTTGAGAGGGTGTATTTTTTTGTAGAGAAAGCTATTTTAAAAGTCATAATTTTTGCCTCATACGACCGCTTGATGCTACACGGTAACAGTGCAAATTTTTAGGATGCGGTGTTCCATTACTGTCCTTAACCCAGAAAAATGATTAGAAAATCGAATAGGCGAATATATCCATGTGATTAACGAACATGATGCCTTACAAATTTGTATTTTAATCGCGGATTGTCCCACACAACGTTTTTCAAGACGTGAACAAAACAGAGGATGTCTTTCTTTGTCATGTAAAGGTTGCATACTCCTTGCTCTTATAAATTGTTTCGTCTTTGACTACACGAATCATCCATTTCAAAGTTGTTATTGACTGGCAGTGAATAATTCGCAAAAAAGTAATAATTTGTAAAGAAATAATCCTGTCACTAAACGTCGGTGGATTATTTGGTCTAAGGTCTCATTCCAAATTGAACAACTATTATATTGCTTATTGCGACCTGAAATTTAAAAAAAGCACGAGGAATTATCTTTAAAATACTTTTTTTTTTATCATCAAAACAGTATATGTATTTTGAGATCAATATGTCTTGCAAACTCACCATGGGAAAAAAATAAGTATCATGTTTACGTGGTGTATTTTATTGTAATTAAAGAGGTTTTAACATACATTGTACTTATGTTTTTGGGGAAAAGTCTGTATTCCTAAAAAAAAACACGATCATGATCATTGTTTGTTCTTTAAGATCAATATGTCCGTTCTTTTTTATTCATCATTTTATCTAACATGAGTAACTCTCTAATGTTTTTTAATTGTAATTGAACCGCAATGCAGCACTTAGCTGTCATATTTAAATAAACATAAACCATTTCAAATCAAATCAAATTTCCTTATCGTTATATAGCTTAGATTGTAATTGCAAAGGCTATGATTCAAAGACTAAATCAGCGTCTTGATGACTGACTAAAATAGTGTTAGTTATGTCCATGCCCCGTTTTATCACCATCGATCCTGCCCGATGTGGAAATTAACATGCGAACGATACATCCTCAGTATACTTTCCTATTTTGTACACGCTATAGTAAATGCTCCAAAGCCGCATCGAAGAATGTTGCGGAAGACACATTTGTTGCTACACTTTTACCCTACCTCACCCTTATATAAAAACGTTTTACCCGTTTTCCTCATCAATTTGATTTTTTCTCCAACTTTTTATTATCTTAACGAACAAGACCGTACTTTTCGGTGTCTGCTTTTTATGGGTAAAACCGATCCGCCTAACAAGTAAACGGGTCCGTATATCCCTACATGATCGATTCTGATGGTGGGGCGAGAATAAGTCTTCCCTACGAGTACTGAAATAATGGGAAAGTTGTACAGTGAATGACCTCTGTATGCCTAGTGCTAGTCAAATAGCAATTGAATAAGTATATTTTCAGGGTGATACGCGACAATAGCACACATAGTACGTCTTGAATAGTATCTGGTTAAGACTACTGATTGATATATGAAATTCGTATTACCTGAGGCGGGGGCATAAATCGGGGGGGGGGGGTGTATATCCCCCACTTTTTGATAGGGGTGGGCTATTGGATTACCCCCCCCCCCTCTTCCCTTTCGTGATGAGAGACATAAAAGGCTGAGTTTGAGGTATTTATCGAACAAAGTGTATTCAATAGTACATGTATACTGAAAAAGGGGGAAAGTTATATAAAGGCTTTAAATGCGGCGTTTTGATGTAAAATTAAGGGGCGTATGCATCATGAACAGCGCCCACTAATGGCATGTGGTGTCCATCACACCCCCCCCCCCCATCTTTCGAAATTCAACGGCCGGGCATTTGTTTGATCTTGGTCATCCGTCACCCCCTTCCCCAGCACCGATCTACGTCACTGACCTGAGGTTCGTTCCTTTCATTTGTGTTAACGTTGACTCTTGAAATAGTTACGTCACTCTGCATGGTTGATATTGGTGAAGTTATCTTCAGCCCTGAAAAATTGCCTGGGTCAATTTTGCCAAAGGGGGTGAAAACTGGAACTACCCAAACTTGGGTTGTTCTATAACCAATTGTTTGGGTTAGAATTTCTGCTAAATTCATCCAAAACTTGAGGTCATTCAAGACCAAATTTAATTCAACATAAATTATGACCCAAATAATTGGTTATAGAACAACCCAAGTTTGGGTAATTCCAGTTTTCACCCTTTCTTTGGTAAAATTAACAATTTTTGGCAATTTTTCAGTAAGTCGATAAAAAATTATGGATAGCATTGTAGATGCTATCCAAGTTCTACAACACAAATACGTGACTGAGCACATTTTTTTTTTAATTTTCGCTCAATCACCGTATTTTTGAAACTTGTTTTCCCATGAAACGCTTGAAGCTTGTTCAGTGAGTCGATAAAATAACAATTATGTATGGCATTGTAAATAGGCGTAGTCAAAAAGTTTTACAACACAAATAAATGACTGAGCACAATTTTTTTTTTAATTTTCGCTCAATCACCGTATTTCTGAAACTTGTTTTCCCATGAAACGCTTGAAGCTTTCGTCCTTCACCTTGTCTCCCGTCACCTCGTTTACCGTGCACTGCGAATTGGCGTCAGAACAAACGTCAAAGCGATCAAGCCTTGAACTAACCCCAAAAAGCAAACAAACTTGTGCATTCAAAAAAGAAAAATTGTTTGACCAAAGGGGACTTTTTTCTGGATCTTTCTTTTAACCCTCCGACGCAGAAAGCACATTTACTAACACATCTACAGTAAGGGGTCCCCCGGGGATCCAAATATTTAGCGCCACGGTTTGAGGCTACACAACACTGAATCCACATGAACACAATCTTGCCATGTCTGTAGACTAAGAAGGTGTATTTGTATACATAGTCTGTGGTCAAGCCGTGCACTGTCTACCCGCAAGTGACCTTGTTTGTGCACGTGTATATGGTGGGTCCCCGGGTGGGCAGAAATTGCGTCGGAGTTGTTTTGTGCGCGTGTATATGGTGGGTCCCCGGGTGGGCAGAAATTGCGTCGGTCCTTAGCCCAGGTTGTCAGGCTCAGATATGCCTGACCCAGGGTCACACACTAAAGGTGACTGCATATATACGTAGTGGGTGTCTCTGGCTAGGATTACATGGAAGATCACCAGAATTGGTTTGAATTTTTTTTTTTAATTAAGGTAATTAACCAAATTGGGTCCCTAAAAGGGCGAGTTTCTGCGTCGGAGGGTTAAAAAGAGGTGATCGAATTTGAAGGAAATATTCAGCTATGGATACAATACCTGAAGGCCGTTGGTTATTTCATGGCTGGTTATTTCAATGATTTGGTTCATTGAACCTATTATGTCGGTAATTTTGGAGGCTCGTTGCCAAATACCTACACGTGAAATATATATACATGTACATGTAATAAGCTTCAAAAGACGTTAAAGCAGAATGCCCCCTATAAAACAATACAAATCCAATTAAGACCATTAGGAAAAACTTAATCGTCCGCGGCTGTACGTGTTTGTAAAGTAATTGACTAAGTAATCACCGTTTGCGAGTTTGTCCCGACCCTTAGACAACCTTATGACATTTTGCACGTTAAGTTTTGCTTGTCTCAGATTTTGCGCGTTCTGCGTCCATTTTGTATATCACGTAGTTGGCCAATATTTTACAGGCTGCGTTGACGCGATTCTACCGCGATAGGTTAATTAACAAGTTGAACTTTGAATGTCTCACGTGATAACGTGCCACGTGACAAAATACCAAATCTTTCCCATTGAGACCTGTGTTATAATGTGAAGTCGCGTATGTTCATAGCCTATTGCCGGTGTATTCACTTGTGGGTTACTTGCTGCACATCCTCAGTGTGAGACATCCACTAGTCTTCGCATGTTGGCGACATTTCACCAACATATTCTGGCGCTGTGGTGGCAATGTCCAAAATTTCCATTATGTGAGTTTTCCCAAAGTTATACCCCGAAAAGATATACTCAAAATAAGTTTCCAATCAAACTCACCATATAATCAACTGGGCTACATTTCTTTAAATGGAATATTCGTTGCTTTCTTTTTGCCATGCAAATTGACCGTGAATTATACTGATGAAGAGCAAATCAATTATTGTGAATACAAAAAATGTAGCTTCCTATATATCACCTGGAAGGGAACATTGACATTGCTGGCTTCACTGCCATACTTCAGCCAAAAGTCTCCCTTATTCCTAAAAACTTTTGAAGGGAAAAAAAATATTAATCAACGAAAATCACTGCTTGCGAGAAGACTTCTACATCATTTGAATACAGAGCATCAATAGAATTATTGAAACAAATTTAGAGTAAGAAAAGACTGTCATGGCATATTAAAGCCTTATGAAGGGACAAAGGCTGATGACCTCGATTGGGATACCTGCAGTTATGGGTACAATGAGACAACTAAGTGGAAGGCACAATCACGCGTGAAGTGCGTCACAGTGCCTTTACAATTGGTTTTCGGTGACCTCAATCTGAGGTACGGCACGTAAGCCTATCATACCAGCGAGGTCAAAGAACAGGCCTTTAAATACGGGTGATTGTACCGGCTTGGAGTTAGACAGTCATTGCGAGCCAATCAGCCAACCCGACTCCTGCAGAAAATTTGACGATTGTAAAGTCCGAAACCAGTGCCGCCAAGCGTATAGGTAAGGTTTTGAGACTCGAGACATTTATCACCAATTTGATATCAAAGCATACATTGCATAGTACCTATGTGGCATGGACAGTATACGATACATGCTTTCACGTCAGAGCAAAACAAGTTGTTTTATCAACGGATGTTTTTTTTTTGTCATCCCTCTCATTAACCTCACTTCCTTCGGTGGATTTCGATACTGAACTTCAAAATAGATTTTCTAGTTGACTGCACTATTTTCGTTTGAAACATCAAGCTGGAGTATTACATATGAACATGAGTCCGTTCCGGAAGACGTTTTTAGGAAAGTAAATGAGGAAACGTAATTAGTAAGTGGGTAATACCGAAGGAATGAAAAAGTGATGGATTCTAATTTTGGAATAGTTTGCATTGACACATAGCAGTAGTCATTGGGAAATGCGCTAAAGACAAGTCTTCTTGCTATGAAAAAAAGTAAATTGATTAATTGAATTGGACCAATACTTACCGAGAGTTCTTTTATTGTCGTTTGGTGTGTACGTGTTGGTAATGCTTGTAAAAGTGTGCTTGTAAAAACAATAATTGCGTCAGATACTTTTTGGATAGTTGCAAATGATGGACTGTACCTTAAAGTTTACAACTTTTTGTCATTCAATGAGGGGGTTTCTTAGAGGGTCTTGCAGTGCACACAGCATATATTTCAATTGCTCAAAGCATTGTCGCCAAGTTAAGTAATCACATGAAGTAATCACATAAGTAATCACATTAAGATGATTACAAAAAAAATCTGCATGGTTTCAAAGTAGCAGCCAGACCCAGAGCTGAGGACACTGTAATGTATACCTAGAACTAATAATCAAACATGACTGTGTCTATGAAATGACCAAATACAAACGTCGCCATCTCTGCAACCTTAAATACGGTCCGTTATTTCCAACCAATTCGATTTTTTTTCTCCGAACGAATTTTGACTATTATTTGATTTTAACGATGTTGTCCTTTTTTTCGGTGTCTGTGCACCTGTGAAAAAGGAACCTTTTAAATTTGGATTGTAAGTTGTTCACAAACACATGCGCCCTGCGACAAAATTGGTGGCTGAAACCTACATTATCGCTTCTACAATAAGAAAGAGTGGGAGTCAGGGTACCTCACAATAACTGACTATTGTCAGAATGTAAGAAAAACAAAATAGAAAAAAAACCCTCAAAATTTGTATTATTATTCCACACTTTGGGTGTTTTCTTTCGGCCGATGTGCCATTCAGAATTGACTAATTTTAGTTTTGCTAGGAAAGTAGCAAACCCAAACAAACTCCCTCCATACGTTTTCGGGTTGAAACTCGCACGGATAGTTCATCTTTAAAAGTTATTCCCCAGCCTTGTTTTTTTCAGTGAATAATGGTTTTCCTGTGTAACGATGCTCACCGTTTTGTTGCCTCAAATTCTCACGCTTTTGTTTATGTGTGTGTATTAATTTTATTTCTAAATAATTTAACATTTATCTTAGAAAATAATTAGTGTTTGTTACATTTTGTATGTTTTGACTTTTCGTCCCTCAAAATGTAGGCCATGAAAACAATGTCATTATTATTTAAAACGTACATTTTGTGGATCTGAAGTATTTATGTAAGTGAAAAACAGCCCTTCACAGAAACAGACTTATTTTTGCGCCAGGAGAGACTCACTAAAAAAACCATAATTACGACTCGACAAAAAAAGCCAGAGGCAAACTCCAGTTTATTCAAACAAAGAACCTAGCATTTTCCAGAAATATGCATACACGAACAAGCTTGAAGCTTGTGGGCCCGAGCCTGACCCCAGGCCGACTCGGTTGATGAGGGGCTCGCATTCCGAGTTTCCTGGAGACCAATGTATTATGGAATGCGACACTGAATATAATTGGCCTACGTGAGAAAAAAAATCATGGTTGGATAAACTGACGTCACGTTGTTGACGAATCAAACTTTCGGACAATACAGGTAACGTTACGGTCACCACAATACAGCACGGGTTATTTTTCATATTTTGAAGGACATGGTACTATTGCGGGTTGATTTACTTAATTTCAGTCGTGATCCATAACACAATTTTGAAAAAAAAAATGTATACAGGGGTCGGGGCAAAATACTTTGGGCCCCCATGAAGTGGGGCTATAAACATACGGTGTGGGGCTCGGGGCCCGTTTAAGGGCTCTGGAAAATGTTTGAATTCTAGATGCTCTGTGGTTCGATCTGAGGCAATTTCTGACCACTTTAACCAACATTTTTGAGGAAAAGGTGGTTGTTTACGCAGTGCCTGCCTACATTGCGACGTCCACTTAAAAAAACACGTTCTTTTGGGGGGAGGGGGTGGCCTCTGTTGCGCAGTACCTAAAACGCAAATCCAAAATCGGTTGTCGTTGTCCCTTGAAGTAAAACCCTCTTTATCATTTTTTTCATCAGGTACGGAGTAGTAGACAAGCTGAGTCTAGATCACGTGGTACAAACATGGACGCGGGACTCTCCCGCCAAAACCAGAAAGTGGCCATAGTGGGCATAGGCTGTCGCTATGGCAACGGGGTCGACAACGTCAGGAAGTTCTGGGAGATGTTGGTGAAGGGGTTGGACTGCACCACGCCGGTACCTGCAGATCGCTTCGATGCCAGCTACTTCCTAAGTCCTGGAGAGAAGAGGGCAGGCAAGATGTACATCAAGAACGGTGGCTACATCTCTCAGGACCCGTACATGTTCGACAGGCAGTTCTTTCATATGCCACCCGGTAAGTTCTTTGCGCCATACCCTTTCAACGTCAGTTGATAATTGTACAGTCTTGGCCCCAGACTGACTTTGGATTGTATTCGGCTCACGTACAGCCGGTTCCTAGCTGTGATGCATTGCGCTGGCAAGCTGCAGTCAAATGGCATCAACGGTAGAGGGCGCTATCAACGAGATTCGTCTTGGGCCAAGACTAATAGTTCTACTGAGTTGAGACACTTTTTAGCCAGCGTTCAATTGTATATTATAAAAGAGTTTGGGTAATTTGTATAACAATTTTACAAAACTCTATGAAGGAATACAGCCGCTAAGAAGCTTTGTACGTGATTCCGAAACTTAGATGATCAGAAATATTGACTTTCCGCACCAAGATAATTGGAAGTAGATGAATTAATGTTGAGTAAGTTTCGGAATTGTTAAGAAGTTGTGAGTGTTAGATGTCATTAATGTTGACTTTCTGCACCAAGATAATTGGCAGTAGATGAATTAATGTTGAGTAAGTTTCGGAATTTCCAAGAACAACAATTGAAGACCTTATCACATCCTACTGTTATCTAGAGTTCTTCTAAATGTTTGTGTTTGTAAAAACGGGCTTATTGTTGAAACATCACAAATATGAATAATCCCTAATCTCGTGTTTACTGCTTTTTAATATTCATGGAATGATGAAAACCAATTACTTTCAGTGGGTATAACTTGTCAGTCACTTGTCCAGCGGATAATGTAATCTGTTAAAATACTACTGAATCGCGCGGTTTTTGTACAGAGGTGAAATGTTATATTCAAAATACTTAAAGAAATGGAGCCATCAAAAAATCAAGACGTTCCCACTTTTAGGGTCCATGTTTTATTAGAATTCGGAGTTGTGCATGTTATATGTGAATTATGTACTCTGATACGATCATCTCTGCTGTGCTTTTGTATCAAATAAGAACCAGACTCAGTTGGCGCGTGGGGTCGCATAACATCATTTTGCATGCAAGGATACAAGACGTATGTGGCTCTGCACACGTGAACGTCTGTTACTCGGATTACTATTTACGTACCTTGGTTTATACCATGTTTCACTACTATTACACAATTTCAAGTTTTGATGAATACTGTGCATGGGTCAAATGCGTGAATTTCATAATTTGTTTCGTATGACTTGTGATGTTAGTAGTTGCAGGGGCGGATCCAGGAATTTTCGCAGGGTGGGTTTTTTATGGGGGGGGGGAGGGGGGAATGGGGGCGCTGTTCAAATCCGACGATTATCGCAGAATGATATAACTATACCCCGTAACAAAGCTGGCTCTGTGCGTATTTTGTGCCAGGAGGACACTAATACTAGCCACAAAAAATTGGGTGTCGGAGCAGGGGGGTGGGGATGTTTCCGCATTTTTCTTCAGGAATTTCTATGGAAAAAACATGACAGAACTGTGGGGGGGGGGGGGGTTGACCCCCAAACCCACCCCCCTCTGGATCCGCGCCTGAGTTGGACTGACTCTTAACTTTATATGGGCTTGTTAAACCGTCTTAATATTTAGCCCATCACAATTAGTAACATGATCATAATGATGAATTGCGATGCATTACTGGAATCAAATGTGACCACAATTTATCCGAAACTTTGTTTTATAATTATTTAGTATATCTGCATGTTTGGTGTTAAGGCTACATATGGATGCGTTTAAAAGTTTTTACACTTGTAAATCCAAACGTGTAACACTCTTATACGCTCATGCCTTTATTTGAACCACTTTCCAATTAACATTTCTCAAATGGGTACCAAATCACAAAAAAGTGTTGTTTATCTACTCCCACAAATTGTGTTTGCAACCATGGGGCACTCTTTCTCCTTCATCCGAGTCATGTTACGAAACACTTCTAAACGATTGATGTCCACCGCTGTTGAGCTGAGTGAGAATTATAGATTACACACAGGCATTCAAATGCAAAAACGATTTTTAAATATTTGTGTCAAGATGGAAACGTAATTTTTACTGTGGGACTTTGGGTTTTGATTTCGAGGAACAAGTCACTCAAACATTTCGAATTCGGTCACTTTCTTTTTGACTCACCCTGTAAACTGACACAATGTCTTTTTATGTTTCCGAGTTTGAGTGCGTATTCACTTTTCTAATCATTTGAATGCAGAAGAAGCAGCTCATCTAGATCCACAAGTAAGGCTCCTTCTTGAAGTCACGTGGGAGGCGCTTGAGAATGCTGGAATGCCAGCTTCCTCTATACGAGGTTCCAAGACAGGTGTCTACATGGGCGTGACGGCACAGGAGTACTTATCATTTGCCTGTAAACCAGTCCACAACATGAATCAATACACTAACTCGGGTAACAACTCCTGCATGGTGTCCAACCGCATCTCATACGAATTTGATCTTCGTGGACCCAGTTTCTCCGTGGACACTGCCTGTTCATCCTCCCTGTATTCCATCCATCTGGCGTGTGAGGCACTCAAGCAGAACTCCTGTACCATGGCTCTTGCTGGAGGAGTCAACTTGATCCTTACACCAGTTACATCCATTGGGTTTTGTCAGGCTGGAATGTTGTCAGCAGACGGGAAGTGCAAAAGCTTTGACCAATCAGCGGATGGATATTCACGCAGCGAGGGTGCCGGGGTCGTGGTTTTGAAACCGTTGTCTGAGGCTCTGCGGAATGGTGATCGTGTTTACGCTGTACTGCGAGGAGGTGCACTGAGTAATGATGGCCGCACACCGGGCATTGCAAACCCTAGTTTCGACGCGCAGGTGGATTTGGTGAAGAGCGCTTGTCGCAACGCCAGAGTGGACCCCCATCAGATTGTCTACGCTGAGGCTCATGGCACAGGAACACGGGTTGGGGACACAACCGAGGCAGGTGCCTTGGGTGAGGCTATGGGACGAAGACGAGGACCCAAACATCCTCCATTCTACATTGGGTCTGTCAAATCTAACGTGGGTCATTCCGAAGGTGCAGCAGGAGTCGCTGGCATAATTAAGACCGCCTTGTGCCTTTATCAACGTAAGATCCCACCAGTCGTGCACTTTAAAACTCCGAACGAAAACGTCAACTTCAAAGAGCTGAATATCAATATCCCTACCGAGCTGATACATTGGCCAGACAGAGACGGCCGCCTCTTGGCTTGCTGCAGTTCTTTTGGTTTCGGTGGAGCGAATGCTAACATTGTTCTTGAAGGTCCTACTAATCTCCATGGAAGTGGTCAGTTCATAAAGATGGGTAAAACGCTGAGCTGCCTCCTCCTCTCTGCATCAAGTTCCAATGCTCTTCATCAGAAAGTCAAGGATTGGCTCGATTTCCTTACCGGTGACACTCATATGACAGACGCTACTTTCTACTCGTGCCTGTACACAGCCGCTTGTCGTTCACAGCACTACACACATCGTCTGGGTCTCGCTGTCAACTCCAAGGAAGATGCGATCCACCAACTTCGAATGAAGCTTGAAGCTGAAACTCAGCAGACCTCGGACAGGTCTGTCAAAGGTGTAGCGCCGTCAGCCACAGGCAATGAACGGCAGATTGTGTTTGTCTTCTCTGGCATGGGGACTCAATGGTGGGGCATGGCGAGAGAGCTAATGCGTACACAGCCTGTCTTTGCTTCAAAGATGAAGGTGAGCACAGTACCTTATAGCTTTGCTGCTTAAAAACAGAAGAGTCTTCAGATTGGTATGGAGTGCATGGGATTACAAAAGTCCGGTAATTTACTTGCCATTGCATTGGGAAGAGTACCAACATTTGGGAACTTCAAGAAATACAAATATCCGATGGAAAGATTCGGGTTTGTTTTGATAAGTTTTCTTAATTGATCTGGTAGGTTATCGACAAGCTTTTGCAGAACTGTGGAGCCAAATGGTCATTGGTCAGCATGCTGTCTGAGGAAAAGGACCGTGAAAGAATCAATGAAACAGGTAAACATTGTGATTTTTGACGGTAAACAGACTTTGTGATACTTTTGAATTAGGGTGGCCTAAAGGGATGATCTGGAAAACCATTAAATCTTACAAAACATGATTTCACATAAGTTGGTCAAACTGAACTTGTTGATGGTCTTTTACTTACTTTCTTCTTTCCAACAGAAATCAGCCAGCCTTGTCTGTGTGCGGTTGCGATAGGTCTTGTTGATCTGTGGAAGTGCCATGGTGTGGTCCCAGACGCAGTGGTTGGTCATAGTGTAGGAGAGGTCGCATCAGCTTACGCAGCAGGTCTCCTAAGTCTTGAGCACGCAGTCAAGTTGATCTATCGGAGAGGAAGAGAGCTACGTAAGACCAGTGGCTCTGGGAAGATGGTGGCTGTCTTGAATCGTGTTGAAGACGCTGTCCAATTCGCCAGTCAAAGCAAGCATGGGCAAGTGCTCGATGTTGCGGCTATCAATAGCCCAGGTCAAATCGTGTTTTCAGGTGAGACCTTGACTGTTGAGGGTCTGGCTAACGAGCTGAAGTCAGATAACATAAAGTGTGTGGTACTTAAGGTAAATAATGCTTTTCACAGCAAACAGCAGGAGGTTGTAAAGAACCCTTTCCTCAAGAAAGTGGGTAAGTTTCTTAAGGTACAAAACGCGTCGGCGAAGCGACGCACGATTCCAATGATGTCAACTGTGACTGGGCGTTATTTGACGCCTGAGGAGGCTAACTCTCCTGAGTACTGGTATCAGAATATCAGACAGAAGGTTTCCTTCATGGATTCCATTCAGAATCTTGCAAAAGATGGCTACCGTGTGTTCGTGGAGATAGGTCCTCACTCCTCGCTTCTGCCGGCCCTCCGAGACACACTTGCTGCTGTTCAGGCTACAGATGATGCATTTATCACAACTGCATCTCTGCTACGGCCCCGAGACACCACCACATTGGCCAACGATTCTGAGAATCTCCTGTTGGCGCAAATGAGGCTTCATGTGAGTGGCATCCCCGTGAAGTTCCATAGCTTGTTCAGTTCCACGTTTCGCCGAGTCGTGTCGGTCCCACACTACCCATGGCAGCGAGAAAAGTGCACGAATGTTTCTCCTGAAGGAAAGGAGGAATTGCTCTTTCCTTTGTTGGATGGTCACCACATTCTCCTTGGAGAGCCCGTGGATACAAGTTATCTTCGAGAAAGTCCGGTGAAGATATGGCGAGCTGACCTGAATGCATCTCGGGTACCTTGGGTTCAGGATCACGTCCTGCAGGGGGCTGTAGTTGTCCCTGCTGCTGCTTACACAGAGACAGCTCTTGCTGCAGCTCGATCGATGAACTCTGATTCCTATCCACTGATTCTAAGTGGACTGACCTTCGATCGATTCATGTTTGCCTCAAACTGCGAAGGTACTTTGGAGACGACAGTTGAGGAGAAGACATCGGAGCAATTTCTCTTCACGCTCCGGAGCCACGACGCGTCCAGAGGAACGTGGATCAAACATTGTCACCTGAATATCATCCCTCCATCTGTAGCCAATGTTAGTGAGTTGATGAACGTTACAGTTGATGAAGAGAGCATCATCGCAAGGTGTGGAGAGATCCTTCAAGGTGAGGAATTTTACATCAGGGCATCAGAATGTGGGTTTGAACTAGGATCGACATTTAGATGCGTTCAGGAGATTTCAACGTCAAACGATTTTCGAGAATGTTTAGTGTATGCTGACGCCTCTCCCAGCTTGCAGAGGGAATTTCATCGTTACGTTTACCATCCAGCTTTTATGGATAGTTTCTTGCAAGCCTTTGCCGTTCTCCTGATTTTAGCGACTAAAGCAGAAATGGAGGCTTCCGGCAAAACTTTCCAACCTGTGTATAGGGTTCCAAAAAGCATCAAGACGTTCACTGTCGCTGCTCCAACCTCACCGCGTGTATGTATCCACGCGAAGATTGGCGGAAAGGACAGGCGTTTTTGTGACATTGATGTGGCTGACGCAGACACTAAGAAAGTATTCTGTTCAGTTAGGGAACTTGTGTTTGAAACCTTTCAAGCTGACAAGATTGAGCCGCAGGTATGGGGTCTAGCTTGGAAAAATCACGGGTCAGTAGTTGTCACAAACGAGTCATCCGAATCCCCATGCGCTAAAAAGAAGTTGGTCGTCTTCCCGGATGATACAGAAGTAAGCAGTTCATTTGTTGATTCGCTAGTGAAGGTACAGGCCTGGGATGTTTCAATCATTGATATGAAAAGGGCCGATGCTGTGCAACAGGCAGTTACCGTCGTTTCAGACAATAAAGAATCTGATGCGCTTGTGATCATCATGAAAACAGAGATTTGTGATGTCGATTTGAATTCGGGATCGGTCATGTCAAGGAATCAGTTTGAGGAGTGCCAAAAAGGCATATTGTTTTGTTACTCTGTCTTAAAGACGTTACAGCAGGAGGGGATGAAGGCTAAGGTGATTCTATTCACAAAGGGTGCGCAGCATGCAAAAGAAGAGGACGACGTCAACCCATTTGCAGCGATCCTGAATACTATCGGAGTCACAGTCAGTCATGAAGAGCCTGTAATTAGAGTATTTACTGTTGACCTGCCCATGATGGCAAGCAGCCTTGAGTGCGCCAAAATTGCTCAGGAAATACTTATCAAGGAAGACTATTATCTGAATGACGAAAATGTAGTCGCTGCAAGGACACCAAACTCCAAACTCGAAGACGATCAAGCTCCCATAGTGGATTTCTTTTCACCTCGCTTGAAAATGGAAAATCTCTCCAAAGCTTCCGGAGTTGTGCCAACAAGGTTCTGGTCAGTTGTTGAGCGAGAGGTGTCTGATCGTAGTCGTGTCTTCATTCAGAAAGCTCCTCCCAATGAGTTTGATAACACCGATTCAGACACTGTCCGAGTGAAGGTCGAAGCTTTCAGTGTTTATAACAGGCATGAGTTGGAAGGGGACAGCAAGGTAGGACCAAACACATTCGTGTACGCTGGTAGAGTCGACCCGTCAGAATCAAAAGATGTCAGTGAAACGTACTTGGGTCTTACTTCTTGTGATGAAGTCAAATCGTCTATGACCGCTTTGTCACAGGATTTAGTTGAGGTGCCCTCCCATCTCACGCCCAAAGAAGCAGTCAGTATCGTTAACGATTACTTCCCAACCGCCGTCTTCTTCAATCAGGCTTTGCAAATATCTGCAGGTATGCGTCTTGGCTTCAAGTTCGACTCTCTTGGTAGTTGTGATATCGCTACGATTCACCTGTCAACTAAATTGGGAGCTGAAGCGGTCCTTTTAACTGATGATCGTGATGGTCTCGCGGAAACTAAGACAGAGATACATGTGAGGTGCCTCAGTGAGATAGATGATGCCTCAGTTGATGCACTTTTTCTGTCTTGCAGATCGTCATCCTTGGGTCGCACACTTCAGTCGTTGTTGCCAAAGTTGAGAAGAAACGCCTCTGTTGTGATAATGCAAAGACTGAGACAAGATGAAAGACTTCCGATGCTTCCTTCAAAGATGAAGATTGTTGCCTTCGATACTGATCTCCAGTCAGCAGTTGATGGATTATCCGGTGCCGAGATATCAGCTACTCTGTCGAATCTCTGGGATATGTTTGTCCCAAATGTTGAAGGTAGTCACCTTACATGTAAAACCAACAATGTTAAGGGACTGTCTTCTCTGGCTGAACAAAATACTGAAATTCCCAAATCTGAGGTCATCGAGGTGGGATCAGCGGAGCTTATGTTGCCACCTTCTCTTGAGAAAGATGGTTTCGTTGCTGATGGAGAATCGGCCTACTTCATCACAGGAGGAACTAAGGGGTTTGGTCTCAGACTTCTAGAGTGGCTGATACAAAGAGGAGCTCGATACATCTACGCTGGTTCAAGAGGGGAAATAAATGATGAATTACAAGGGGTAATTAAAAAAGGACAGGAAATCTCTGCCACAGTACGACACATTCAGTTGGATGTCTCTAATGCCACCGACGTTGAAAGGGCATTACAGGAAATGAAAGATGACAAGTTGCCTGCTTTGAAAGGTATATTCCACTGCGCCGCTGTCTTCAGTGATGGATTCATTCAAAATATCACAGAAGAGTCTTGGAACAGTGTCATGGCTCCGAAGGCTTATGGGGCACTTCTCCTTCACCAGTTGACGCTTAAGCTTGGCATCGAACTGGATCATTTCATCATGACCTCTTCCATCGTGTCTCTGATTGGCAATGCAGGACAAGGTAGTTACTGTGCAGCCAATGTCTTCTTGAACGCCCTCGCCCAGTATCGACACAGGCGTAATTTACCAGCAACTGCAGTGCAGCTTGGGTTGATAAATGACGTTGGGTTTGCAGTTCGCCGTGGTATTGTTCAAATGTGGGAGAAGACGGGCGTAGAAAGCATGAGTCCCGAGGAAGCTCTGTGTGTTATCGGTTGTGCTTTGTCAGTTCGTCAACCACACCTGGGCATCTCAGGTTCCTTTAATCGGAAACTATACGCAGCGACGCATCAGGGTCTTATGATACAACACTTTAGAGAAAAGCATGGAACCATGTCAGTGATGAAAGATTTGTTTCAAGACAGTGACGTGTATCTAACTGCCACTAACGATACCCTGCTACAGTCCATTTTGAAGCTTCCGTTCGCCAAAGCCAAAGAGGTAGTTATCGAGGCTTTGGCGAAACTTCTCAGTCAGCAGCTTGGGTTGTCTGATGAGCCTCCGCATGATGCCTCTCCCATTGCCCTTGGTTTGGATTCCCTCATGGCTTCAGAGGTCAGCCAGATGATCAGTCAGCAGTTTGAGGTCACTTTGGGAGCTGTGGATCTACTTAACGACAAGAACACGATCCAGGAGCTTTCGAAAAACATAACAAGACAAATACTGGCAAAGACGGACTCAACCACCCAGACTGGATTTGATAATGAAGTCTTGTCCGTCTCCCAAGAGAAGAAAGTTGTCATCGAGGGTGATATGCCGAAATCGTTGGGACTGAAGCTTGTGTGCTTTCCCTCAAACGGTGCAGGACCTTCGCTGTTTTCACACTGGATACAACATCTGCTACCATTTGGAATCCAAGTATTGATGATCCAGCTTCCGGGCTGGGAAGGGCGTGAAAGCGAACAACCACTGACAGAAATGAGTGATATTGCACGGCTTGTACACGATGAGCTCGTACCAAATCTTTCAGATATTCCCTTCGTATTTTTTGGCCACAGCATGGGCAGTCTGGTCGCGTTTGAAGTTTCTCATCTCCTTCTGCAGGAAGAAAGCATCTGCCCTCGCCACCTGTTCGTCAGTGCTTGGTACGCACCGACAACACCTTATCCCCACCCAGAAGAGCTCAATATCTCACCCGCAACCTTTGAAAGGTTGAGGAAGACCCTGGAGAACCACCCAAAGCTCTTTGCAAATTTAGCGAGGATCAAACAAGTAAAGTTCAGTTTTATGGATGATAGAGCCTTCTTCAATACCGCCCTCATGCGACGGTTGTTACCTTGCATTGAGGCCGCCATTCAAATGGTGAAAAGCTACGATGGCAAACACCAGAACCCGTTGCCATGTGACATCACAGCTTTTGGCGGGAAACAGGACGGTTTTGTTCCACCTGAACTCCTGGACGGCTGGGAGTTGGAGAGGTCCAAGAAGCATAACTTCAAGAAGACCACCTTGCCCGGGAGGCATATGTACATTCTGACAAACACGGCAGAGATTGTGAAGGAAATATGTCTTACGTGCAAGAAAATAGGAGCTAACTGAAGTACTCAAGAATGTATTATGCTATTCGTTCCTGCAAAACAAGATGGCTTAATTGCTTTCAGTACAAATTCCACACCCCTTCACTGATTTCATTCTTCCTGCTTTAATCAATATTAATAATTACCGTGGAGGGTTGATGGATTATGATAAGTCGAGACTCGATCACGTGGGGGTATATTAACGGTGATAAAGACCGGCTTCAAAGACCTAGCGAATAAAGGGACCCTGAACCAGCATTGATCCAGCATCATGTAAATTAACGTACCAGTGTGTTTCTGCATTTGCATGGTAGGCCTATAATTTGATATGCGGTAAAGCTTGCAGACTTGACGCTTGTGTCTTAAATGAAAAATCGCACTAGCGCTCAGAAAAAAAAAGAAGGGCCAGTTTAATTATTTGCGCGAAGCCACAATCAGATTCTTCTAGGTTTTTTTATGACTAGTGTTTATTGTATTTTTTAAATTCGATTGCAATGCAGATACTTACTCTTGTAAAGAGAAAATTGGTTTGAGGAGAAAAGTAAGTTGAGGTGGATAGATAGTATTTTATATATTTTGTATTGAAAAAAGAGTAGTATTCGTATTTTTACATACGCAGTAAATGTTCCTCTAAATTCCGCAGGTAAATAGGTTTATACAGATTTAAAACAGTTTACTTTGAATTACGTTACATAAAGTTATAAATGTATTACTTTATGAATAGGATACGCATCCAAAACATGTTGTTATAGCTAATTCTACAACTGATAGTCAAATCAATGTATTGCCTCAATGGAAAATTTGAGAGCGTAACACGGTATGGGCTAAATTGTTTAGGATTGTGTTTGAACTATATGATCATGCTTTTTAGTCTGTCAGTATTTTAATGATGTTATTTTGAAGATTGTCAGAATATGTTATTCTTTATGTTTTAAATATTATAATAAGCACATACTGCTTTATTTTATATATATTTTAATATATCCACTACAATAGGATGCCTTAGTGAATAACATTGGGCATTTTAACACAGACACAAGATTTCCCGTGTATAATGGCCGAATTCTCTGTTTATAATTATTTGATCTAACACTAACTTAGATTTATGTTCTGCCGATGAGACCACGCAAAACCAGTGGTGGAAACTTGTATCTCGATTCTTACTTATATAGGCATATGCACTTCTTCTATTCCTAACTATCTTTGTCTGAAGCCAATGAGCGACACCATTTCACTGAAATGAAAGGACCCTTTGCAACCTTCAGATTATTTTACTTATGCGATCGTACTGCACACTTTTCAGATATACTGGGAAATTAAACACTCTTCTAAACACTTTCTTGCTATCACTTTGTAAACATGTTTAAATTCTAAACATGTTTAGCGTAGGATGGATAGTGTTTAGCAATTGAACATTGATGTTGAGGAATTGGACACGTAGTGTTTAGCTTCTATACAAACATGTTCACAAAGTGATAGCATGATTGTGTTTTATTGATAAACACAGTTTGTAAAGTGTATCAGGCAATTAATTACTATTTCAGTATTTTGGAAAAGTATGGGTGATCTTTAAAAGATTTTCGGTAATTAGATAATTATGTCATAAGAATATGAAAGTGGCAGGTTGGCATTTGAGAGGGTGTTTTTTTTGTAGAGAAAGCTATTTTGAAAGTCATAATTTTTGCCTCATACGACCGCTTGATGCTGCACGGTAACGGCGCACATACATAGGTAGAGTTATTTGGCAATATTTATTTCTAATTGTCTGTAAAAGACAATCCTTATTTTATCCCAAAAATGAAAGAACATTAGAACATATATTTTTGTATGCAGTGTTCCATTACTGTCCTTAACCCAAAAAAATGATCAGAAAAATGGAATAGGCAAATATATCTATGTAATTAACTACTATGTTGCCTTACAAATTTGTAAGGATTGTCCCACACAACATGTTTTTTTAAGACGTGAACAAAACAGAAGATGTTTTTCTTTGTCATGGTAAAGTTGCATACCCCTTGCTCTTAAAAATTGCTTCGTTTTTGTTCATTGAACGAATCGTCAATTTCAAAGTTATCATTGCCAGGTAGTTAATAATTTGCAAAGAAATAATAATTTGTAAAGAAACAATTCAGTAACTAAACGTCGGTGGATTATTTCGTCCTGGTCTCATTCCAGATTGAAAAATGAAGGAAAAATGAAAAAGGAAACAAAAACATATTTTTCGAGCTGACTTTCGAAAAAAAGGAAGAGGAATCATCTTTAAAATACGTACGTTTTAGTCATCAAAACAGTATAACTATTTTGAGATCAATATGTCTTACAAACTAACCATGGGAAAAAAATAAGTCTCATGTTTACGTGGTGTATTTTATTGTAATTAAAGAGGTTTTAACATACTTATGCTTTGGGAAATAGTCTGTACTCCTAAAAACACGATGTTTCCTCTAGTATTTATTAAAGTGTATTCACAAACATTTTGGAACCTCTAAAATAAAATTGAAATGGTATTCGTAAATTTTATGTAACAAGTTTATGTGATTTAAATAAAATAACGGGTTATCCACACCCTTCGTGGATCAAGCTCAAAAACTTTACGCGGAATGGCCACGTGGTGAATTTTATCTCTACATGTGTATATAGGTCACTAACCCTGGCATGCCTGTACATGCACAAGATATAGGTCATTCACGTGGCCAGGGATTGTTTACAACCTGTCTGCGCTCTGGGCGGCACGAGGGGTTGACACAAAGGGATCGGCGGCACTTAGGGGTTGGCCACTTAGATCTCCCATACTGCACAAAGGCATTGGGCGCCATCTTGGCTTCTGTCTTTCAACACTCCTTACTCCGGAGTGGCTAGGATCTGGCCAATGGGAGTCTACAGGCTTGTGGTGTATAGAAGGGGTGAGGATTACATGGAAGATTGGCGTAATTGGCCTCTTGAAAAAAAATTATGCCCATACTTGGAAAATGTGGAGAATTTTATCGTCCGCTCGCTGCGCGAAGGGTTAAAAGTTCCGCCTCGATTTTTTTTGTTCTTGCAAAATGAAAGTTATTCGCTTTTGAGTGAGACATCGACCGAAAAAAAATCGGCCCAGCAATAATTCCTTTCTCGCCAGGTAGGCTTAATTGCTCCCGCCCCGCAATCACTCGATGGACCTAGATAGTCGGTCCTATATTTTATTATTGACAACCCAACTCCAGCTACGATGGACCGGGAACCGTCTGCTCCAAAGCGGATCTGTTTGTGTCCAAAACAAAATCCTTTTTATTTCAGAGGGTTGCAGACGGCCAAAAAAAAAAAAAATGATGAAAAAGGAGGGTTTTTGGTTGACATAAAACATACAAGTTGAACGTTAATTTTACAATAGAACCAAAATATATAATTTGTTTAAGGGCACGGGGAACGCAAGAAACAAAAACTTTTTATTTCGCAATAAAAAAACCCAACAATGAACATCAAAGTTGTTGAACAGCCTGAGACAGTAAATTCAAGTGAATTATTTTTTTTGCAAGCGAATTCATTTATTTAGCGCCCTCCATTGTCGCAAATTCATCTAGTCTTGTATCCTGACTGACCTATCTAAACGATACAATTGTCTACGCATTTACACCATATACGTCGTACCGTGAAATACGCGGAAGATTCAAGTATTTATATCCTCGATGTTCGTGTTTTCGATGGTGTTAGGATGTATTTCAAGCAAGAGAAAAACACCAACAAAGCCTTCGGTTTCCAAATTGTTTGGGCTGGTGGTGGAACACGTACTGCACACATAACAAGTGGAGTGTCATGGCCTAGCGGTTAAGAACACCGGACTCATGCTCGACGCTCTGCAGTTTCAGTGGCGTGGGTTCGAGCCCGCCGGATGGACACTAGTGTGCCCTTGAGCAAGGCCCTTAACCATTATTACTTCGTCCTTCGGATGGGACTCAAAGCCGTAGGTCCCGTGTGCTGTGTAATCCAATACTCCCACGCGAAGTATTTGAAACAACTAAGAAGAACCAAGAACAAACCGTGGAGAAACAAACGAACTGGTTGTGTGGTACGACTCAGCGCTAGTGCGTCGCAATGCAATGGTTGCAACAACTAAAACAACTTGATGCCTCGAAATCAGTTACACGGACGATACTTGTATTTGTCGTGGAAACATGTCTACAACTTGAAGTTGATGGAGTATGCCTAGTACAACCTGAAGATTTTCAAGAAGAGCCAGAGGACTTTGTACATTGGCGAATTAATTTACGCGGTTTTCTCTGGTATTTGAATGAGACACTACTGGAGCGGGGAGGTATGTTCTATCATTTTTTTGTGTTCTAATCTTGTTCAGTGTGTATTAAATTACTAATTGATTGCTGCTACCCAGTAGACATGGCAGACGAACGTAGACGTACAATCCTCTCTCAGTGCATGTAGTGTATGCAGTCTTTAGTCTTAGGCTGGTGCCTGGTGGTACTATAGTATAATGAGTTTATTTCACCAAACATGTATATACGAAATCACGACAGACCTAAATTGATGTCGCATATACTAATGATATACCGCATCTTTCATCGGGAATTTGCACCACAGCATAGGCAGCAAGTTTCCAACAACAAAGCACTAACACTTTCAAGGGTTTGGGACAGAAACGTCTAAGGAAAGATTCCCATATCTGGCCATCACTAATTTTTTCCCTTACGGTGATCAATCAGACAGCGGAAAGTGATAATATGGCCTAAATAGTCAAATTTAACAGGGAAAATATTGAAATCTTTACTGACAAAAACTGAAATGTTCAGACCAGTCTAATAAGGTTTGAGCACAGGGTGAAAACTGATGGTCGAATATGGGAATCTATCTTTTGTGTTGTTGTAAACACTTACATTTTTGCGGGGAGAAGAGAATTGAAGAGCAATAGATATCCTCCATGGCTGGTCAAAACTAAACAAAATTGTGCACAGATACCATGTGTATGTCATGTGTTAGAAGTAATTATGTCGTGTTAATAAAGGCAGTGAACATGGTAAGAGGTGCTGTAAAACATGCAAAACAAAATCAGGCCAACTTTACCCACTCTTTGGCCGACAAAATCCTCCACAATTTCCATGAGGCAAAGACAAAGTCCTCAGTATTTCACCAACCAAGACCAAGTTTGAATTCTCAATTCAATTTTTAGAGGAGACTTTTCTTCACCATTGTGCACCTGAGAGGGAATTCAAGTGATATAAATTTGAGGCCAAATACTAGACTGGTACGTGTGCAACCACGGTCCAACTGTTTGAAAATACTGACCTCTTCTTTAATCTAGTGGCCGACTAAGGAGAAAATGTGTAGAAATGGAGACCATGTGCCAGACATGGCAGATGTTTCTTTCGGCACAGTTGATTGATGTAATGCAGCACTGATGGGGTGTTGGACTGGTTGTTTCAGGTGCCAGTATATTTTCTTTTGTTGCATGTTTTCAATATCTTAAGTTTTGAGACTCTCATATATCATACGCAGTATTGAGAGCCATGGGCGTCGCGAGGGGGGGAGGGGGGCGCCCCCCTCCCTGGAAAAGCAAAAAAAAAAAAAAAGGAAGAAAAAAAAAAGAGAAAAAAAAGAAAAGAAAAAGAGGCGCGAAGTCATAGTGGTGATTTAATGAATTGGGGGGGGGGGGGGGGCAAAATGTCCCTGCCCCCGTCTAAAACTGAGAAATCGAGAATTTGTTCAGAAATACAAGAATGTTTTGGGAAAAATATGTTTTGCCCCCCTCCAGAAAGAATCCTGGTGACGCCCATGTTGAGAGCCCCAAATTTTCGGATTAAGATGAGGCCTGAGAGTATCAAAAGTAAAATCCTTTAAAAAAGGGTAAAATCAATCTGCCTTCCCTTCCCACAATGCCATTTTGGCCACTATACAAATGCCTCAAATAGCAGGATGGACAACAAAATAAGGAATTTGTTTGAGATTCAACTTCTGTTAATTATGTGGTTGCATATGTTGCAGCATGCATAGCAACTAGTAGCTAGTTGCTTGTTTAATTGTTGTAGCAAGGGAATCCTAGGAAGAAATATTCAGTAAGATAGCAACACTGAGCCAGTCTAAAAGCTAACTAAAAGCTTAGCTGTTAAGATGGGGTCCGCTCATAAGTCCGACGCCTCATAAGTCCGAAATTTCGGACTTATGAGGCGTCGGACCTATGAGGCGTCGGACTTATGATACGGCCCCGTTAAGATTAGTCATTGCAAGATCATAGTCAAGAGAAAATATTGCAAAATATGATGCCCCGCCGGAAAAGCCAATAAACGAGGCACACTGTTTTTATATTTTGTTTTTCAAGGAATTGCCTCAATATGTGGCACTTGTTCGGAAAGTTCAATAGTATACAAATGATGCCACGGAGAGAACGTCCTCAGCAAAGCTCATGACACTTCGGCAACAGAACTCAATATGACAACATGAACAAATGTCATGGCCCTTCTTGCTACCATTAGCGAAGAATTCCCGCTTACTAGCAAGAAAATTCCGTGCTTACGGTTGGCATATTTCACGGGTTTAAAAGTGAGGATTTTTTAGCTTTTGTGCATGTGAACATCCTGTAACTCAGGGTGCTGTGATTTAAACATGCAGAATTGGCACAGATTTTTGTTTGTTAATGTTAGCGCTGTTAGTACATTGATCGCTGTAAGCGCAGAATTCTGTGGAAAGCAGAGCCATGAAATTGGGCACTTACATCACACAAAACAGTGAAACAAGCAGATGGTATTAAACCAGGCTGCGTGACATAGTCAGCATATAAACACACAGCCTGCGCAATACCTGAAAAATTGTCAAATACTGAAGGTTAACTGAATATCAAGACCAAGAAAATAAGTTCAATTGGTTCTTGTGAGGTCACGGAGTAGAGCTAATAATTGCACGTAGGACAATATACATGTATTTGGGCGTTTCTGAGTTTACACCGTGAGCTGTATAATAGCTGCTTTTGAATTTCCAACAGTGTTCCATTGAACAGTTGTTGGAGATTAAAAAGGGGGAAATTTGTCCAACCATTTTACATCTGTGTATAATCAAAATCCCGGGCCCTTTTCCCAAATAATTGTATCTCGTCTGTGGACTTATTGCGCAAAGTTTCGACGGAAAATCGTCCACTGTATCCGTAGTGCCCTGTAAAAAAAAATTACTATTGGAAACAGTCGTCTGCTGCACTCGCATGTGGTCATGGATCCCTAAACATTAGCTAATATAGACATGTAAATCGCATCAAGTCACTAGACGAATTGTTCGAGGACAAAATGTCACAAATATTTATCTGAAAAAAATGCTTGAAAACACCCTTCCACTTCATGGAAACAATTTGATTTTTAACATGTTGTTTGTGTATTTATGTAAAGTCGTTTAATGCTTGAATGGTTTCTATTGCAATTTGTTCTGGGTCTTAACTTAAATTGACCGGACTACAACGGCAGTATTTCATAGTAGGTGATTGGGCAAAGGACCAATCACAATCAACGCGTCCATGGATGTAGAGAACTCTCGCCCAAATAAGAACACACATCCGGGAGTGCGAGGCATTTGGAAGCCGTCGATTCCGAAGGCCACAACTAAAAATTGAAGTTCTGATCAACATTTCAACTCGTGAGAAGTGGGGTTTTCGAAACTCACCGTGAAGACCAGCACTTGCTGTTCAAGGAGCTGGTACAATGTATCTGAGCCGGGACACGGTGCTTGTGGTCTGTGCGGCCGTCGTGGTTCTGTGTGCTGTCCAACACGTCTTTGCGGTGCCAGGTATATAGCTTGAAAGTTACACCCCGTGCTCTTAAACATGGATTTGTCTTTCCTCCAAAAGAATTTTCAATTTGTATGTTCTGTTTTATTGACAAACAAATATTCTGATTTTAGGCGTCTGCCACCTTCTGAAAAAAGGGGCTTTCATTTTGGGCATATCTAGAGAGCGAAAGCGTCTGACAGCCAAAACTAGAGTTTTGCGAAGAAATAATTAAATAACTTAAATGTCGGTGGATTTTTTTTTTCCGTTCGATGTCAAACGTGAATTATTTTTATAATCCTAAAAAAATAGCCATTAAAAAAAATATATTTGTCGAGGTGAAACTCGAAAAAATTGCGTCTTTAACATTTTTCGTCGTACCGGTAGTAAAACATGCAAAGAATATTGCTAACATTTAAGAAAAGTTTCAAATGAATGAAACACTTCGTTCAAAACTTGCGAATAGTGGTCATATCAACATGCGTTTGGTGTCGTACAGAAAAGTTCCACTGCTCACCATCACAAATATCCATCACTCGACCAGTTCAGCACATGATCTCGCTCGGACTCGCTCAATCTCGCTCACTCGGACGTACTCTCCCGCTCGAACACACAACCACCAGAAATAGTCCAAGTCTGGAAAATATTCCAAACTGTTTTGATTTACTTGAGTCACACTATACTCTCAGCGTTTGTAACCATTCTCCCTGTAACTCTTCCCATTTTTTAATGAAGAATACCAACAGCTGAAATGCATTTTTTCAGAGCAAAATCTCACCACTTTCTGTGAAGAGTTCCATTTTCCCAATCAAATGATAATTTTAAATCTACTTCATCAACGTTAAAACAGCTCAACTATTTCGAATGTCAAAATCAAAGCGGCTCATCCGTGTTGGACTTAAATCAAATCTGATGTTCCATTAAAGTCCAATGGAAGGGCCTCAACTAAAAATATAATGCAGTAAGATGGTAAACGTTTGACCTGCAACTTAATATTCTGAAACTGAATGATCTCTGCCACCATCGACTGGGTATACTTATGTTTAAATATACTCACAACATGCTCCTTCCACTTTTTAATCATCTATTCTCATTTACTTCTTCTGTTCATTCATATGAAACACGTAGTTCATCGAAAGGTGATCTGTTTGTGAGAAAAAATAGAACTTCCTTTTTTAGAAGCAGTTCATTTAACGTGGTGTTATATACCTGAATGAACTCAACACTGGTTTAAAAGAGTGTACTACTGTTGTTTCATTTACCAAAAAAATTGAAAAAAAATCGATCATCAATACTTATACTTAACTTAAAAAAAAACATTTTCTTCTCTGCTTTGCTTAGTCATTATTTTACATATTGTACCGGGTCTCACTCTTAAACCTATTGTCCTGTCTTATTCCGTGTGTAGTTAGTTGTTTAAGTTTTGTCCTGTCCCAGGGAAAGGTACAAAAGCAGTGCTTCACCTTTTCCCTTTATGTTGACATCATTTAATATTTACACTTAATTACATACTGTCTGTGAAGAATGTTTTATTTATACATATATATACTGTTTTTGTCTGAATTGTTACCGAGGATGTCAATCTGAAAATAAATGTCGAATTGATTTGATTTGATTGGGAGCTTATATGCAGCAGAGATGATACTTGTCAGGAATTTTCCTGATTTCAGGATTTATGGAATCCCGTTTGAATCAGTGAAAATCTTTTTACATAGTGATATACATGTACAGCGAAATAAGTTGGTATTTACAAACCTAGACCAAGTACATAGCTAAACCATAGACCCTATACATTGCTCTGATGGGACCCTGAGCGGCTGTCACAACTACCCCCAGAAATTAGGGCAGTGGAATTTTTGGGACTGGTTTTCCCACCCACAACTTCGTGCAAACACCAAGAATAATCCTCTCAGACGTTCTGTATATTTACAAATAAGTTAATATGCACAAACTGTAAATTTACAGGCGACGAATAATCTTTACAAATATTATGTACAAATCCTTACGAATGTTATTTACAGAATGAGGCGATAGTGACCCAATAAATAATGTAGATCAAGGTCCAGGAGCCTGTGAAATACCTGAAATACCAGCGATGGGTATGAAACTAACCTTAGGTTAAAAAAAATGATCAATCAATTAAATGCAGAAAAGTTATGAGCTTGGAGTATAGAACTTATAATCAACCAAATCTATTTAAAGTAACGAAAATAACTAAATAGAAGTTTAACCTACGCTTAGAAGAACAGTTAATGAAGCAAACAAGAGCAAAAAGTTAAATCACCTAATTAAATGAACTTTACTTGTATTATATTAAACCTACTCTAAATCGGCAATACTTATTTAATATATTTAGGGAGCGTCTACAAATAATGCAAGTTCCCCAGATCAAAGCCTTGGATGGCGGGGGGGGGGGGGGGTGCCAATGAGATCATTTAGTAACAGCAACGCGAGGTCTGTTACATCCAAAGAATCGTTTTGTCGGGACTCAAGTATGCTTTTCTGGAGTAGTTCATTTCACTGTTGACTGTACAAGCAGATGTCTCAATCAATGTTAGTACCTCAATCATGATCTTCTCAATTTAGTTGTTTAAAGTTACTGTACCGTACTTATGAAAAAATGGAAAGTTCATGTACAGAACTACATCTGTTTCTCATCAACCTCGCCCATTAACTTTTTTTTCTTTGTGATCCAAGTATTTTGAAAGGTTTTGTTCTATATTTTCATGTACTTACAAAATGCACTGTAAGCTTCACAACCTGAGCCCAGTAATCCTTACTTTTCTTAACCAAATCCAACACATCATTTTCAGGCGCTCAATTAATAATATTTAATTAAGGATTGTCGCTTTACTTTAAAAACGGTCCATGTATGCACTGTCCAACCGTTTTCCACCTGTGTATAATCAAAATAATGTTTTAGACATCCCTGGCCCTTTTCCCAAATAATTGTATCTCGTCTGTGGACTTATTGCGCAAAGTTTCGGCGGAAAATCGTAGTGTCCTGTAAAAAAAAATACTATTTGACACAGTCGTCAGCTGAACTCGCATGTGGTCATGGATCCCTAAACACTAGCTAATATGTATGTAAATCGCATCAAGTCACTAGACGAATTGTTCGAGGACAAAATGTCACAAATATTTATCTGAAAAAATGCTTGAAAAACACCCTTCCACTTCATGGAAACAATTAGATTTTTAACATGTTGTTTGTGTATTTATGTAAATTCGTTTAATGCTTGAATGGTTTCTATTGCAATTTGGTCTGGGTCTAAATTGACCGGACTACAACGGCAGTATTTCATAGTAGGTGATTGGGCAAAGGACCAATCAACGCGTCCATGGATGTAGAGAACTCTCGCCCTAATAAGAACACAGATCCGGGAGTGCGAGGCATTTGGAAGCCGTCGATTCCGAAGGCCACAACTAAAAATTGAAGTTCTTGATCAAAATTTCAACTCGTGAGAAGTGGGGTTTTCGAAACTCACCGTGAAGACCAGCACTTGCTGTTCAAGGAGCTGGTACAATGTATCTGAGCCGGGACACGGTGCTTGTGGTCTGTGCGGCCGTCGTGGTTCTGTGTGTTGTCCAACACGTCTTTGCGGTGCCAGGTATATAGCTTGAAAGTTACAACCCGTGCATGCTCTTAAACATGGATTTGTCTTTCCTCCAAACGAATTTTTAATTTGTATGTTCTGCTTTATTGACAAAAAAATATTCTGATTTTAGGCGTCTGCCACCCTCTGAAAAAAAGGGCTTTCGTTTTGGGCATATCTAGAGAGCGAAAGCTTCTGACAGCCAAAACTAGAATTTTGCGAAGAAATAATTAAATAACTAAAATGTCTGTGGATTTTTTTTCCGTTCGATGTCTATTTCAAACGTGAATTACTTTTATAATTCTAAAAGCAAGCCATTACAAAAAATTGTCGAGGTGAAACTCGAAAAATTGCGTCTTTAACATTTTTCGTCGTACCGATAGTAAAACATGCAAAGAAAATTGCCAACATTTAAGAAAAGTTTCAAATGAATGAAACACTTCGTTCAAAACTTGCGAATAGTGGTCATATCAACATGCGTTTGGTGTCGTACAGAAAAGTTCCACTGCTCACCATCACGAATATCCATCTTGCCATAAATTATGTAACTTGATAATCCATGTGTTAAGGCTCTTTTTAGTTTAAACTTTATATGAAGTTGTGCATTTTTTTGTGATATTCAAAATCATTTTCGACTTTTATTAGTTACAACGTATCGTTTCAAATTCGCTGAACTTAACTGCTCTGTGGAGTACCAAACGGGTCCAAGTTAATGGATTTCAAACGCAATTAAAGTTTCTTGTCGGTTAGGTTTTGGAAATTAGGTTTTGACAGTTCTGCACAACTAGGTGGAATTATTAGCCGAATACGAAATATCTATCCACCACCAAGGCTGAGCGTTGTGAGTTCGCTGCCCGCCACGTATGATTCAGTGTCGCGTTATAATTTCGGGGGCCTGTTTGGGGTCAACGAAGGATCGATGCATTAATTGCTTCAAATATCGCGATCTTAAAACGAAGTCACAAAAAAATCGACGAAAAAGTGTCCGACCCGGAAGAAGACACCCACATTTTTCCACGGACGTGAAGCCGCGGTCTCGGATCCTTTCAGAAGCAAACATTTCTCGGAGGCCAAGTAAAACTTGCTCTTATATATAGATGGTTGAACCAACTTGAATAAAAGTTGAATCGCAGACGGTCTCGCAAATTGTAAGAAGTTCAAGTTTACGTTTGTTGAAGAGTCCAATACTGAAACTTAATTATGACCTTCCTCCATGATTCAGATCGTTTGTAATTTTTTGGTAACACTCAACATTTTCATTTTAAATGACACCTTCACGTTTTATTGCATTATGATTTATTGTCAAACTGTACAACCAGCCTTCGCCTGTGTACTACAGTAACCTTTTCACTACGTTTTCCAAATGCGACTGCCTCACAAAAAGCCAATTTAACAGACCAACGGCAACATTTACAGACAGTTGC